AACCTATGTAAATAAAAAAGTATAACGATAGTTATCATTATCTTGATAAAATTGATAAATCGATGATCAAAAAAAAAAAGTGTATTTTATTAAATATAGGACTACGTATAAATTTGATCTACATAGTACATTTAATACCCCAATGGTACGTATAGTATCTAAATTAACTGCTTTATTAACATTAATAATGAATAAAAGGAAGAATTAAATATATAAAAATAAAAAATATCTATAAATTTATTGTTCTTAGTATTATAAAAGCTTATATATGCACATATATACTAAAGAACTTTTCGATTAAAATAATATAATATAAAATTTGATTAATATATAAAGATAGATTGTTGAGATTTTATAAACTAATAATAATAACTGTATCACAATAATAACTGTATCACACAAATCAGAAACGCGATCCTAAGGTTCATATTATTCTCAAAAAAATTATTATCCGCAATAATCTATTAATACCTTTGACTGCATTTAATGAATTAGAGTTGGAAGAAAAATTGCAACGATGGGATTGCAACTGGATATTTTTCTAGTTAAAGCACAGGTACGTAGCGATTTCTGTGTGTTAATAAATTCTAAATTTGATCAGAAAATAGACAACCACGCAGTAAGTTTTATATTAATCAAGGATCACTTAAAAATAATAACTTTACATAACAGCTGTCCTTATGAGTGACTTCATCCTTTATAGAGATTTTGTCCTTGTAAAGTCTCATCTTTCGCAAGTTTGCGGAGAGCTTTGAGGTTTCGATTTCGTCTTTTGTCATTTCACAAAAATTGTTCCGTCTAACAACACTATTAGTATCATTCTTAATTTCTAATATTTATCTGGAGATTATAATTCAATTAACCCACGAATGATTTAGATAGTTAATGTTTATAACTTTTTTTAAACATTGTAAATTTAAAAGCGTTATTATAAAACATTTCAAATAGTGATTATTTTTATTGTTCAGATTGTGCATAGTCCATAAGAACAAAAATTTGAGCACACTTTTTTTTTAATAGATGTGCGGCATACTAAACAAAAAAAAAAAAAAACATAAATAATGCGTATAATTAAAATAGTTATAGCAAGCCATTTTTTTTTATTCTCTGCACAAAATAAGGTAATAAATTGTTGCGATATCCTCACAATAAATTTTGATTGAAAAAAAAACTAACACTGATTTAGAGAAAAAACAAAACAAAAAAAAAGAAAAGCTAATAAATTGCTATCTTTGTTTGTGCATACTATACTCCTGGCAGTGTTTGTAGATAGGACGCTACAGTATAAAATCATTTTGCAACTAAAATATAACCATAATCTGTAAGCATCAAATCGATGTGTCAACCCAGCTTTTAATTCCAAGATTAGTAAAGAAAAATAATTATGTAATAAACCAGTAAAAATAAAAATGCTATCGTTATAAAGCAAAAAAAAAAAAAAAAAAAGCTATCCTATAATATGGTTTTATCGAAAATGTACTATCGTGTACCTTTGCATACAGTATCCCCTATTTATTAAAGCTTGAATAGATTCCAAGATTTGTTTTCGGCTGAAATATTTTTTCGGAGATTCAAGTCTTCTTCATGTGTTTTGTTCAACGCCTTGAACAAAGTTCTTTTCATGATCGAGAAGTTCTGCGGTGTAACTTTGTAAAAGGCACTTTTATTATATTTTATTACCGTCTTATAAAAATATGGAAGAGAAAGGAAAGATACTTGTAGGCTTGGTTTAGCCTCATTAAGCACAAGAGAGTTTACGAGGTGAACGGTGGCAGAATTGACTTTAACGAAGGTTAAAGTAAATTTGTCATCATCATGTTTTTTGAAACCCGACTGATTTGCCCACCAATCAAACGTATTGTCATATTTGCTCCAATCAAATGACTCGTTAAATTCGTTTTCTGGTTTTAATTTGCAATCTTTGAGGCTAATATATTCTGGAACTGGTGGTGGATGTGGAACATTTTCAAAAATCGAACGTTGTTTAAATCCAAAAAATTCATCTTGCCTCTCAAATCCAATACCTTCTCGAAATCCAGAAGTACAAAGGACTACAGCTAACTTTGGAGAGATAATGTAAATGCTATGGAACATTTTATGAATTGGACCTCCCACTTCTATGGGTCTGTCAATATTTATACCTTCAAAAATTCCAAATGCGTGGTCGGCCATAATAAATTCATCATTTTCACCAGCTTGCCAAATTGCGAGGAAACAATCGATCATAACCAATCTGTAATCCATTCTATCTACAAAGAATATTCTTGTATTGTCTTTGACGTCTTCATGTGGAGTATCTATGATTTCTCGGACGTTTTGTAACCAAACTTCTTGCGGATTTTGTAATTTGTGTTGCTGCATAAAACTTTCGACCATTGACCAAGTAACGATATCAAATCTTTTATCTGCAAACTGATTTCTTCTAAAAGGTATTCTGTAACTCATAATGAAGAGAAATTTACGTAAGTCAGAAATATTTTTCCTAAGCAAAACAATTCGGCTTTTCGTTTGAGATGTCTCGATAATATCTCTAATCACTTTTGATGCTTTCTCTTCAAGAATAGCTAATTTTTTTTCCACACGCATTGTGTCATCATGATTAAGATCTTTATACATATTTGTGTCTCCATAAATTCTTGAAATCAAAGAAGTACCCAATTGATCGTTAGCTCTATCGTAAGTTTGGAGAAATTCGCCCTTCTTTTTTGACTTCCATAACTTTTTTTTCTGACTGAATAGCTCTTTGTTGCTCGTGAATATTCTTTCATAATTGTCAGTAGCAAAATTACGTAAAATGAATCTTGGAATGTAGTGATGGTATTCGTCTTTTTGCATTCTTGCTATACGTAGCAATATCAGAAAAGAAGAGGATACTGTACTACAGGATTGTTATTGTAATCATTTAAGGGTAAAGGATATGTAGATCATTTATCATATGATTTTGGTGGTATATATGATTTTAGAAATATGCCATTAATAAAACTTTTTATAATTTTTGTTAAAATTTTAAAGTTCGTAGATTAAAACATGTCCTTTCTAATGATATAAATTTTAATAAATAAAATATTAAAAAAATATACTTGGTAGCCAATCCATGTTACATAAAATAAATGATTTTGATTGGTTTATATCATATGATCATCACATAATTTTTTTAAACAATTATTGATATTTAACCGATATTAATAATTTACTACTGTCAGAATCAGATAAATTTTCTTTAAGTTTAAAAAGAAAATTCGTACTATCAAAATAATATAATAAATGATATCATTTACTCTTAATTTTATGACTTTTCCTTTTTAAATAAAATTGAGCACCTAACTATCAGTATAGTAATTGTTAAAGTCACTGAAATAACACATGCTGACATAAGACTAACACAATAGCGTGATGCCTCTGATGTCAATATACTTTCAAAAATACCGTATCCTATCGTGAATAAGCACTACACCCTCTACCCCAATTTTTAAATGTCAGATTAGCGGAAATCGCAATGAAGTCTTTAGCCAAATTATTACCGCTAATCTGATATTTAAAAAAGTGGGGTAGAGGGTGTAGTGCTTATTCACGATAGGATACGGTAATTATTTTTAATTTAGGCCCGTATTTGTAATTATTTTCACTTTCTGGGCCCTTATTTATAAATTCCCCTTAAGATAATGTACTGTAGTCTCTTTAATTTTGCACATATGTGTCTAAAGTTGGTAATTATTAAAATCGCTACTTCAAGATCTGAAGCCGCATTTGACTAAAATTAAAACTGTTAAGAGCTTTATAATTATACATTTTAAATCCTTATGAGTCCCCAGAAGGTTACTATATCAGCCTCACATATCGAAAATCCGAGCTAAGATTAAGCTAGGATTAAAGCAAAACGCGCATACATTGCACATCGCACTCCAATAGTCGTAAAGATTTTACTTATGTACTATAATAATTTATTACGAAATTGAAATAAATATACAGCCATAATAGTTCATATTTTAGAATGAAATTTTATAATACATCTCTACTAGCATGGGTTTGAAACTATTTTTTCATATTATGATTTTGATCTTTTCCTAAAAATACTAAATAATTTAGGGTACAAGTTTAATTTTTATCAAATTTGTAATTAATAAAGTTTAATAAGTTTTATAAAATATGATACCACGTATAACTTTGATTCATATAGGATATCACATAACCAAATATCCGTGCCTGATATTGAGTTCTTTTACATATTTCGAACATTCAATCATACGAAGGTCCTCCTATTTTGCTGTATGTACAGATTTTTAGTATAAAAACAGTATCCTGCATATTTTTGTCTGCTGTTATTACGAACGAAGATATTGAATTTAAAATCTGCTGAAGATAGCAATTTGGATGACAAAATAACCTTGGATAGTGCTACGAAATTGGCATAAGCATAGATAAAGATGAAAAAAAAGGCATTTGCAATGTATTTGAAATCTGAAGGTGGCAATTTGAGTGGACAAGATAATCTCGGATGATGCTATGAAAATATAATAAAGCACTGCTGTCAAGTAATAAATAATCCACGTATATCATGTAATGCTTGTATTTCGTGTAACACTCCATTTATTAGCTGCCCGATACGAAAGTATCGGAGCAGCATTTTGTCTCGAATCGATCACGGGTGCGGTTTCGTGATTAT